ATTTCAGACTTCTGACCTCCAGAACTACAAGATAATAAATTTGCGTTGTTCTAAGCCACTAAATTTGTGGTAGTTTGTTACAACAGCAGTAGGAAACAAACATAATGAGACTGAGACTTAGGACTCAAGATGACTATATAAATGGGTTTTATAAACACATTTATGATGGTGTTTCTCATATAGTAAATGTTTCCTACTGTCATCATCTAAGAAACATGTATCTGTGTCCTTAGTACTGCAGCACTCATTAGTATTTCTGTTATCAGTGAACCAAGTAATTTCATCTGAAGTAATCTTTCATTTAGTTAAAGACTGATCCTGTATTTAGGCTGATTCATTTTATTCCAAATGGTTAACGAACAACTATTCATTCCCTGACTATAAAGACACATTTTACTAAATAGCTTCTGAAAATACAAAGGTGAGTCAAGTCTACTCTATCCCTGCCCTCAAGTAGCTCACAGTCCAGATGGGAAAAATTTTTTATTTAGCACCTCATCTCACACATCAAAATATACTGTGATTACTTAAAGAGTTGACCATCTGAAACTAAAAGTACAACAAATGGATGCCACGGCATGAGTACAATTTGTGAGTCAGTCACTAAAAATAAGGGCTTTAATAAAGCAATGGAAGGGTTAATGCGATGCTAGGAATCAATGTGGGGGTAAAGAGCAATTTCAGGATCTATAAGACATTTATGAAACATGATGTTGAAACAGCAAAGAAATTGACTAAATACTAATGAAAATTAGAGTCAGGTCATGTATTAATTATAATCCAAGGTGGCAGTTTCAAAAATATCAGCCAATATTTATTAAGTAAATGATGTATCTGCCTACAGAAAGAAACCAAAGAGGAGATTCTGATCCTTGATTCAGGCACTAATTCAAGGTGTTATGTCCTGGGATTCGGAGATAACAACCAGAGAAATTGAATAGCAGTGGTTATGTAAGACACCTAGGTTTAAATCTAGGTAACACAAATATAGGTCATTAACTAGTTGATTGACCACTCATCTCAGTATCCTTGTCAGGAAACATAACCGTTCTAACCTCAGAGAGCTGTTGTGAGGATTAAATAAGATAATGTATATAATGCAACCTAGCACAGTGACTGGGCATAGAGTAAGTAAACGATAAATGTTACTTCTTATTGCTACCATTTCTTTTTCAGGAGCTCCCCATCAGCAGAGACAAGACACTCAATGCCTAAGTTCTAATAAAGGTAAGCAAAGAGTGTTATGGGAGTCCAAAGTTACTTTCCCACTGAAAATATTAAAGAGAACTGAGCCACAACAATCAGTGTTACAGGCCACATGTCAATTTTATTCACAGCATGCTTTGATGATGACTAAAGTCTTCCTATATTAAATATACAATCAGAAAGAGATCTACATTTCTGTCATACCGAAAATCAAGATATGAGTACAAGTCTAGCATTTAAACCAATGACCAAACCTCCCCACATATTCTATTGAGTTTTAGCTGATACTATTGTGCAAAAATCCACAGAGAAAGTCACTAGAAAAGTTGAAAGTGAACTCTAATCTTATAATGAATAAAGTCAATACATGTATACTGACCTAAATTACAAAATATCCAAATCTAAAACTTTCATCCAATAAAACTGATAATTCCTAAAACATGCTAGACATCATATGGGGAGCTGGAGACAGAATATTATGCAAAAGCAGATATACTTGCTGTCATAGGCTTTACAGTCTAGAGGTGAGACAATACATTATTTTATGAAAATTACAACATAACAGAGGAATCTGAGTGGGAGAGAGGGTGAATACCCTTCTCCCCCTTAATCTATATGGGAAAAGGTACTACATAAATATTACAAAAAATAAAATTAATAAAACTGCAGTTTTTAACTGCCTTGGCAAATGGATTCAATTAGTCAATAAAGCAGCTAATTAACACTGGGAGTCATGATTTTCCTGTAGCCTCATTACATGGTAATCAGATAAAGATTTGCCAGTTTAAGTAATCTTGCAGTTCACTACGAATTATTGCAAAGGAAATATGTGTACAAAAATCTGCAGAAGCTCAGAAAAATCTGTCTAAATAATTTCAGATTGTAATGCAATGTAACAATCTACCACAGAAAGAAATGTCTCCCTATGTGAGGAATTCCGTACTATAATGACACCATACAATACGAAAGCAAGTCATAGAAAAATGAAAAAGGTGATTACAGTAGTCCCCTCTTATCCACAGTTCTACTTTCTGTGGTTTCAGGTACCTTTGGTCAACTGTGATCCAAAAATGTTAAATGGAAAATTCCAGAAATAAACAGTTCAGAAGTTTTAAATTGTGCGCCGTTTTGAGTACCTCACTTCATCTTATCATGTAAGCACTGTATCGTCTCACATCATCACAAAAAGGGTGAGAATAATACAATAAGATATTTTGAGAGAGACCACATTCACATAACTTTTGTTGCAGTATATTGTTATAACTATTCTATTTTATTACTAATTATTGCTGTTAATCTCTTACTGGGCCTAATTTATAAATTAAACATTATCATAGATATGTATAAGAAAAAAAATGACATACATAGGGTATGTTACTATCCACAGTTTCAGGCATCCACTGCGGGGTCTTGTAACAGATTCCTCACAGATAAGGGGGGGACTACTGTATTTGGACTTTTGATTACAATCTAAAAAACATCTGAAGATCCAACTGAACTGTACTATATAATTTAAGCAAGCTACATTAAATCTAAAGCTTCAGAGTATTGAATAGAATATTTAAGCAGCAATAACAGCCTTGAAAGAGTTAAGCAAAAAAAACCTACATTCCAGCATTGAACTTTTTTTTCACCTTCTACAGAAATACCCTCCCTTCCAATTCACCACCACGTCCCTACTCTCTCTTATTAGTGGGATGCACAATCAAGGAACCCAATACAGGACATTAGCCACCTTACTAAGAATACTACAAAAAACTTTAAAATGGGGCTTAGGGCCGGCCGAGTGGCGAGATGGTTAAGAACTGGTTTGGGACACCAGAGGGCCCCGGTTCGGATCCCACATATGAGGGCCAGTGACACTGCCCTCTACAGCTAAGATGCTGAATGACAGCTCAACCTGGAGCTGGGCTGCCATGAATCGCCGGCAACGGCATAGGCTGCAGCCCCTGTGTCAGTGGGTTGCCATGGGCTACCGTGTGTAGCCAGCAGCCAGCGTGAGCGGCCAGCAGCCGGCGTGAGCGGCCAGCAGCCGCAGTGAGCGGCCGTCCAGAAGCCGGCGACTGATCTGCCTCGCCTGGGAAGAGCGCAATGATGGTGCCAACTTGGGCCAGTGAAGCAACGTCCTCCACAACTAGACTGAAGAACAAAAGGACAGCAACTTGTCTGTTCCCCTTCCCCCAATTCCCCTGCACTGTTCCCCTCCCCACCAATACCCCAATAAAAATCCTTAAAAAAATAATAATAATAAATAAATAAATAAAATGGGGCTTATAAAGACTGTTAAAATTATATCTTTAAAAAAGGTACGTATTTACATAGTTCTATGATTTCCTTCCCTATGTGAATCCTCACTTGGCTCTGGGCAACATGCACACAGGGGCTGTACCTTGCGTTTTATTTTCCCAAGTACAGAACTTAGAAGGTGTGTAACAAATGTCTGTCGGCTGGTTCAAATCAACATAGTAACAACATCTCTGATACAGCATATCAGCAGCTAAATTCCTTTGACATTTCAAAATTAACAAAACTATACTTACATATAAGCTTACAAGCATATATGCAGGACTTGCCATTTAAAGCTCATGTAAAATTGCAACTTATAGATTATAAGAAAAAAACACAGCCATGACATCTTGCTTTTTTGCCCTTAAAGTGAATTTCTTAAAATGATTTCATCCCTGATCAGTGTAAATGCTGGTAAATAGCCTAGAATAAATTTAGTTTACATGTTACCATAAATTTGAGAAAGAACAATTAACACCATTTCAGTGCTTACCCCCACTTAATTCTTGCTTCTGCCTACTCATAGACATTTTTAAAAGTCTTTTAGGGCCTTCTTTGTTTAAGAAAAAAAAAAGTAGTCTTCCCCCAAAACAATGTAAATTAGCTATTTTAGTCAATGAATATGTTCTCGAACTTCACAGTAATTTTAGATTCCAATGGGCAATTCAAGTATTATTCTACTTTTGTTTCCATGAACCAAAGATTTTATAGGTAAATTGGCAACTTAGCAAGCTTTGGTAGAAAACCTGTCTTTCTCTATTATAATGATTACAATAAGCTTAGCAAATCACAACGCAGGAAAATTTAAAGAATCCTAGAAGAGGTGGAAAAATATAAGACACTCTCATACCAAATGACAAATTATAGTGCCACATGCACACTGTCGTCAGAGGTTGAGATTTGTGTCCAACCACCATCCAAGTATGTAAAGACCTCTGGATATCAAACAGGAGATTCTCCCCTCTTCCAAAGCTGAAAAACTGAACAGGTGGCCTAAGTACAATTGGAGGAAAGTTCTGGGAAAGATGAATGGGCCCTAAAGGGGTCTCCCAAAAGCAGAACCATTCATTCATCTCCACAAATTCAGGGTGAGTGTGACCCGCACCCCACTGCAGGCCCTGAATCAGATTCCAAACTCTGCTCTCTAGAAAAGAAGGTGGCACGGAGCGGGAAGGCACATGAACAACTATGCGCCTTGTATGAGAGTTTTGAGGTATGGACTGAATCCACTTTTTACCCACGAATACAGCAATTGTTCTTTAATTGTTTGCTGAACGAATGAATAAGTAATAAATACTAAACACTAAGACAAGCTGGGAGTTGCAGGTGCATATTCATCGCGGTCTCCGTGGCCCAGCTGCCTACCACCACCGGCTCCTGGCTCCTGGCTCTTGTTGGGAGGTCACCCTCTCCTCTTACGTCGCCTCAGGCGGCGGCAGTAACCAAAGTTCAGCTCGAGCCTGGGCCCAGGCTGCGCCCCCCCTTTCCCGCCCCCGAGCGGCACTAACCGTTGCTGTAAGGAGACCCCGAGGCCGAGGCCTCCCCGTTTTGAGCCTGAAGTCCCGTTAGGGCACCGCCGGAAGCCGGTATCCCCGGCTGGGACATGACGACGGTGGTTATCCGGGCTGGTAGTAGGGGTCTGCGACAGCGCCAAGCGAAGAGCCGACAGACGACTGCTGGAGGCGGAGGGAAAGGGCTAACGACTTAGGACTGAAGGCGGGGAGGAGAGAGGGCGGTGCAGCAAGCCCTAGGCCTGGCGCCGCATTCTCCCCAGCCCACCGGCGGCCACGGCCTGGCCTGGGAGCTGAGGATACGAGTAGGGCCGGTAGGGACGGGAACGCTGGGCTGGAAGGCAGCAGCCAAGCGGCGAGAAAAGGGAGGCCCCCGCCGGAAGTGCCTGTCAGCCGCTGGTCGCGCAGGCGCAATCGGGACACGTGGCACTTCCGGCTCCGGGCTGGCATTCGCAACCGCAGTAGGTACTTGAGGCTTTCCCCGCAGTGCTGCCCAAAGGCCACCTGACAGCTCCGGGTGTCCCGGCCCTAAGGACTGTGATCGGCCTGGCCTGCCACGTCACTGACTCTCACCGCCGGCCGGAAGTAGAGTGTGTCACAGCTACGGAAATCCCCGCGGTCGTGAACGTCATCTCGCCGGCAGGGCCAGGACCTGAGCGAAACCTGGGCTTTCGTGGGGTGGGACTGACTGTTACTCTCCTGGGGTTTAGGTGAAGATTACCTGAGACGATAGATGTCATCGTCCTCTGTTGAGACTAGGTCTCTGGTAGCTGAACCGATTCATGTTCGTCACAGTATTTCATGTCATATTTCGTCATATTACAGGTGTAAATTGTAAAGGCATTTTTTAAAAGGGGTGGTTAATTATGTTCCTGTGTTAAAAGTGTAATCAAATCATGGAGAAGACCTTTGCTTTTTGACTGGAAGATTCAGAAGTAATTTTAGTTTCGAAACTCGCTGATTTTAGCATAGTCACGGTAAAGTTCACTGACAATACATTGAACAGCACATTTAAATGGCAGTTTTAGTTCCTCTTCTAAGAGTTTACAGTGAGGTAAAACATTCAAATTCCCTTTCTAGTAAGTCTAGTAGACTTTTTTCTTTTTTTTTTTTTGCTATTAGACTTTTTTACTTTTGAGGCCAAGGGGAAGTGGAAACTGAAGTGATTAGATAATATAGTTAATGGATGATCTCAATAATCATCTTAGCTACCTTCATTCTAGGTAGGTTTTTCCTGCTCTGAGCTGATGATAAAGCCCAACTTTAAACTACAGAGTTATACTGTTGATTAAAATGTCATGTCAAAGATTTTGCAATCCCTGAAGGATGAAGTACATCTTTATTTAATATCAAATGCCTGCTATGAAATGTTATATTAAATACAAAATGAGCAAGACTTATACACTGTATCGGGCCTGAAAAACAAACAATAAGAATTCAAATAACTAAGTTAAATTTTTTCCTAACCTTGTTTTGTCATTTGCCCTAGAAGCTTACTAAAAATGTGTTTGCTGTGGGTAGAATTCCACAACTCCTTTGTACAAAGGCTTCTTTAGAATGAAAATGATACTTTTGGTCAAAGTATTTTCAGCTTATAGTCCCTATGACGAAGTCTCAAATCACATATCACAAGAACACTTAAAAAGATAAATGCTTCTCAGTGTTTTAAAGAAAAAAATAGACCTCAGAGAGAAACTGAACCTTCCTGAGGTCAGACAGAAAATCAAGGTCATCTTCAAAGGGGCAAATTCTTAATCCTGGTGACAAACTTACATTAGTTTAATTCTTTCTGATTTAATGCAACTCCTTAATGATCTTGGTTTGTTGACTTTGGCACAGGAGTTTGCTTTGGTTAAATCAAGCTTTCTTTGAACTTTGTTCTATTTAAGCAATGTGTGTGTTCAGAAGGAAAAAAAAACTCATGGAGAGGATTAGCCATTTTAAAAAGTAACCTCATGGGTTAAATCAGGTTAAATAAATAATTTGCTAATAAGTAAACATTGTTTTTTCCTAAAGTTAGTTCCACCCCTAAGAATCTGTGTTGCTATTATTCCCCCCAAAACTATGGTTAAGTCTTTTTTTTTTTTACATTTTAAATGTAAAAAATTTTGAGAAGAAAATATTGAGAAGAAAAGCAGCATTTGTCATCTGCCCACCCTTAGGCATAATAGGATGGTAAGTTTAAGTAACTGAGGTGAGACAGCATATTTTAAAAGTTAGGTATTATCCAGACATTGTCAAATTCTTCTCTGACTTCTTAAAGTGTGGTCACACAAATATCAAGGAACAATAATTAGTGCTATTACAAGTGGTTAAGGATATTGCTATTTTTTTGGTTAACTATCTAGATCTACCCTATACTTTTCTAAACTGATGTCAATACTATATTCTATGGTTTGATACTTGTTCTCCAGAACAACAGGACCCTTCTGCCACATATGCACCCTTCACATGTATATGTATCAGATATTCTGTTTATTATTTTCAGAGCTTTCAACCCTGCTTAAGAAAATTATAAACAATGAAGTGACACAAAAGTATTTCAGTAAGGAGACAGCACTATACAAAGAATACTTCATAAGGGCTGGCCAAGTGGCTTGTTGGTTAAGAGTTGGCTTGGGAGCGCGAGCTCTGAGCAGCATGGCCCTGGTTTGGATCCCACATGGACCAATTACGCTGCACCCACTAAAGCTAAGATGGTGAACAACAGCTCCACCTGGAGCTGGGCTGCCGTGAGTTGCTGGCAACGGCGTAGGCAGCTCCTGCTGCAGTGGGCTGCCGTAAAGCTACCGTGCGTGCTGGCAGCCAGCATCAGTGGCCGGCAGCCGACGTGAGCTGCCCTGAGCCTCTGTGAGTGGCCATCCAGTGGCCAGCGACCGATCTGTCTCAGCCGGGAAGAGCACAATGATCACAATACCAACACGGGCCAGTGAAGCGACGTCCTTTACAACTAGACTGAAGAACAAAAGGACAGCAAATTGTCTGTTTCCCTTCCCCGATTCCCCAATGCTGTTCCCTCCTCCCCCCAATTCCCCAATAAAATCTTTTTAAAAAAGGATATTTCATTAAAGTTGATTATTTATTTAGACCCTAAAGAGGGAGACAGTCGGGCCGGCCGAGTGGCGCGATGGTTAAGAACTCGCTTGGGATGCCAGAGGGCCCTGGTTCGGATCCCACATATGAGGGCCAGTGACACTGCGTTGCCATGGGCTACCGCGTGTAGCCAGCAGCCAGC